GGATGGGGGTGGGGGTGGGGGTGGTGATTTCTCGCTTTCTGTTTCTCTCTGCCTATCTGGCAAGCGCACATACTCTATAGCAAAAACCTCTCCAAAAATAAATAAATAAATAAATTTTAAAAAAGCCATGGTCATTTAATTTACCATAGCCAAAGTACCTTTCTAAACCTAACAAACTCAATCTGACCAAGGTCAATTCAAGCCCCACTTCTTCCTTAAACCCTCAAGGGCTCTAAATTTCATTCATCTCCATTCAATTTCTTTACCATTTAATCATCCATAATTCAGAACCTAAGAAGTCACCAGTATACCAGATTATCCTGAAGCTGGTGACAACCTGTGAACTTTGAGAATCTCCAAAAGCATGAATACCACCATAGTATAAATTCTCCACAAAAACATCTAAGTAATGAATAAAAACAAACAACTGCTGTAAATCAACCAAATGAGAAAACTGGGACTACTTCAAACCAGGAAGAGTGTCAGAGACCTTCAGGAGTCACTAAAGCAAGCCAAGCCTACTCAAATTTTTGTTTATTTGTTTTAAGCTTTTGCGATAGGGTGCGTGCACTTGCTGAAGACAGAGAGACAGTGAGAGGGAAAGTGAGAAATCACCCTCCAAGGAGGAAGGCCGTACTGCAATCGTGGCTCCATTCTGTTCTAGGGATTTGGGGCACATACACACACACGTGCCTGGTGTGATTTCAAGCTGCCAGGTCTGAGCCTCGAAACACAGCCAGCCATGTGGGAGTCCAGCATTTCCCTCACCACACCACCTGCTGGCCCCACAGCTACTCAGTTTTATGATTTCAAGGGTTTTGGTCTTAATTTAAATGCTCTCAAGTGCCATGTCTTCAATAGCATCTTGTACAGCAAGGCTATGAAGACCAGTGAAACAATGCAGTCTGAAATACTTAGTAAACTGTTCTGCTACTGTTAAACTTGGAGCTCTCCAGACAACCTTCCTTCAAGACTGTCAAATATCTACAATGTACAAAACAGTCTTTCACACTGGGCGCAATTAGAAGGTATCAATTCAGTTACATATAAAGCTATCAGTCAGGATTACAGACCGTAACAATGACCATGACCGAACACCACTGTAACACACAACTGTACAGAGAAAACGCTGAAGGCACAAGAAGGTAAACTGACAGGCTGCTCATGTTACAGGAGGCAACCAGCTGGCCAGAGCCCAATACACAAAACAAGGAAAATAGGATCCCGATTTACACATCTTTCTCTAATTCTAGGCAGCAGGTTTACAATCCAAATAACTACTCTCCCCACTACTTATTCATAATCTTTCTCATAATATTACAGACAGGTTAAAAAACAATTAGCATTTGCTACAGATTTTCTAAACTGTCTAGTCCTAAACACAGGGATCTGTACCTGCTGCATCAATTAACTTAAACCAACTGCAGACAGTCTGAATACACCAAGACTGCATAGCAACACAGAATTTTTATTTTATTTCATTTTTTTGCCAGAGAGCATGTGCACTCACAAGAGGGGCAAAGAGACACAGAGAGAAGGAGAAACCTCCTCTCATGGGGAATGGTTAAGCCACAGTCTCTTCTCTTCCATTTCTCTGCCCTGTCAGGATTTGGGGCCCACACATGCATGGTGTTTCTCAAACCCAGCCAGATCCCAACTGCTCAGCCAGCCATGTGGGACCTGGCCCTCTTACCACCAAACCAGAGTTGGCCCAAAATTATTTTTAATTACACTTTTCCCAGCTAAATTTGTATTTTTGAGACTGATTTCACTTTTTAACTCCTCAGTTAAAAAATATCTAAGACAAAAATAAAAGCAATAAATTTCAAGCACAACCTTGAACCAAAGACCTAAAAGAGCAAATTAGATTACTTCTTTAACCCCATAAAATCTTTGAGCGATTTATATTTTTGCCCTGAAAAGATTTTTCTATATTTATATAAATGTGTTAATTCCCATTTCAGATATATAACATACCATCATCAGGCTCCAGTATTTTCAATTGTTTTTAACAGAATCAATACTCCCTAACATCTCTTTAATGATACATGAGTTTACATATCTATCTGTATGCTTCTAGAGAAATATCCATCTTCATCCTCAGATCTAAATGTATGTGGAAACAAAGACAAAACTATATATAAGTAAAATAAACTTCAACAACCAAAAAAGGGATTTGTCCGAGTTAATGATTTCCAAAACATCCTAGCCATCCTCATGCACATATTAGACAATACAGACTCAAAAAGACCACCAAAAAAGATTTAATTTGCAACTGCCGAGCTAAGAAACCAGAGTACTAAAACATATTTATGAATCAACAGAAACAAAAGCAACACACTCATCGTCTTCCTCTATGACTTTAGAGAACAAGGATAAACGATAAAGTTAATGTTTAATGCACTCAAACACTACATAAAATAAACATTTTTCTTTTAAAACCGTGACATAGTATTCCCAAGGCACTTATTGGCCCCTGCCCTGCAAAGAGAGCCCAAAGAACACCTCTTATTGGGGATATAATTGGTGACCATGATATTATAATGTGTTTGGACAGAAACAAAATCTGAATCAAAGATTTAAAGCTGAAAGACATCCTTCAGCAGCCAAGTACTCTCAGACTTCAGAGATGACGAAACTAAGGTTATGAGAGCTGATCAATTTAGCTAACTAGAGGCCAAAAAATTCTGCATCAGTTCAAATGAAAAAGCTTTATCATTTACCACCTTCTTACAATATTACACAGCACTACTGAAAACAGCAACTAAATTACTTTTTCACCAATCCTATATACACATACAATATACATATACACTTCAAAATTTAAAACTGTGCCTGTTATCAACATAGGATGCTACACCTCACGACAAGTATATAGAAAAGTTAGCCAAATTTAAATTCTGACTGCCGTCAAAGAAGCCTTCCCATCTTAGCCACTTTCAATCTGGGCCCAAGTGTACTCCAACAGCAGCAAGAGCCACCCCATCAACTCTTCACACGCCAAATCCTCACATGGCAACAGGACTCCAAGTAAGAAATCAGTTCACCTGCACTCATGACCCGGGAGACCGAAGCCCACTTTTTTTTAAGCTAGTCAAACGTAAACCTTCATCAAGAAAAATGAAATCTGAACTCAATCTAATGCCTTTAAAGTTTCACACTCAGCTGGTCCTCAATAGCTATTTGAGTAACTGTGGAGTGCAAAGAACCAAACTTGTACTATAGAGATAAATTTAAATAATCAAAGTAAAATTTCCCCCAGAACCTTATCATTAGCAATAGGCTTTCTTTCAGCTGTGAAGTGATAAGCAACCAAAACCAGAGTAGCTGTAAGCCTCCCTTTAAGTGGCCTGTATATATACACGTTTATGTCTATATTTAAGTTGTACCGAAAACTGCTTACAAACGGCAATTCCTGTGAAGTAGATGATGATGAAGTTCCAGGTAATTCTAGCATGTTTCCTAATGTACTGGTACTGGAGTCTGGATCATCCTGAAAAGATAAATGTATTGAGTTTAATTGCTCTTCTACGGTAACGTTTGTATCTCCTAGCGAAAGGGGGGCTGGGAGAAGGGCTGCTTTTCCTTTGCTGCCGTCCACTTCATTCTGCTTATTTTCCTGCGTTTCAGTTTGAGGAGCTAACGGCAAGAATGGTGACTCGACTGCACCGTGCCTACTCTCTGGTGTGCTGTCTTGTTCACTTCCCATGGCCACTTCTACACCGTTCTCAGATTTAGGCTCATAATTGCAGGTGGCATTGGTCTGAGTTTCCTCAAAGATCTCCTCTATACTCTCATCCTCTGTGACTGGCTGTTCTGGGTCCATTTCAGAATCTACATCTGCATCGTCCACACAAGTAAAATTGTCAAAGTGCAGAAAGCCATTCTTGGTAGTCTTTGTTACTTTTACCTGCAGTTCAGGGGAGTTATTACAAGAGAGTTCCTGTTTCATAGCAAGTGCTGTTGAACCACCAGGACTCAAGGAAGTGCAAACTGGCGACTGCGCTCTTGAATCCCTTTTTTCAGGGTCTTGAAAGGATTCTGATCCATCAGCAGACCCATTTAAACACTCTACATTGATCATGGAGGCCAAATCCTGTAGTCTCCGCAGTGGAATGTAACAAGATGGAGAATCCTGTCCATAACCATTTTGGGGTGTTCCACTGGCAGTCGACAACTGCATAGTACACCCATTAAGTGGCTCAGAAAAACTGGATTGACCATTACCGAATGGGCTGTCCTTGTCTTCAGGGGCATCTAAGTTCACTGGATTGGAAAAGGGCAGCAGACAATTTCTTCTAGGTAGTTCACAGGTCTGATCCATCCTGAGCCAGCATCAACCTGGAATCCAAAAACACAGCAATTAATTTGAGTCAACAGGCCATCTGACTCTTCTCTTCAAAATGGCAGCCACTTCTCAGAGGCCTAGTGGCCTCTGTGCCTTTTCTGCTGCACTTCCAAGGGCGGAAAAAGTTCCTCGGACTGAGGATGGAAAAATGGCCTCGCCTCGGTGAGCCTCCGCGAACTCCATCTTCCCATGGCTGGGCAGATCTGCCACATGGAAACAGCCCGTCCCTTTTTCCTGCACTGCAGACTGGTGGACACTTGGGCCCAACTAGGATTAAAATCCCTTTGGCAGTCAAAATCCCGACAAGAATCGTCCTCTCCCTCCCCGCCCGGGGTCCAGCGACCTGATCTCCCAAAGGGAGGGGGCTGCGGGCTGGAGGGGTGCTCCGGGGAGCAGCGCAGAAAGGTGTCCCCCTCCTTCCCGGCTGGCTCGGGCGCAGCGGTCACAATAGCGCTGCACCCTGCGCCCAGCCGGAGCCGGAGCCCGA